ACAATGCAATCAGAATGTATGTCATGTACGAAGCCGCAAACTCACTTTCGAAGCTCCAACAGCTTCTCCCAATGAGGGATTGTTCGGTTCAACCATCTCACACCAACAGCGAATGATGGGAGCACCAAAGAAAGTAAAGTCCAAATCCAAAGGTGACGGTCTTCACAAACATGTACGACGTGACTGTACATGGCGACGAGGAGTAAAGGCACAAGCAGGGCCGCCAGACGAAGTCGGTAGAGGTGGGGGGGAAACGGCTGACGTGGGGGAAAGCGCATTGGCAAAACGCTCGTAGGTATCCGTAACGTCTCCAATGCCATGCAGGATGGGACGCAACATATTCCAGACCGCGGTCTCCATCGGAACCTTTGCCTTGACATGGGCGGCCTTCGTCGACTTGACCTTCAGAGTTAGTTTTGGCCTCTGTGGCCCCAGCGGACGATCTCAGTAGGATCCGGCACAATGTCGTGGATGGCACCGTCATGGGAAGCTTCGCCCTGAGGGTGCTTTCCGCTTGCGCTCGCAATCACCACGGAGGCGAGAGATGTCACTAAGTGGGCAGCTTCAGCTCTGCAGCTTCGCCTTTGTGATTTTCGGGGGCGCCGGTTGCAGTGTCAGTGCTTCCCAGAAGGCCCGCTCGTGGCTTTTGGATCCCGCCGCTGAGGGGGTCTACGAGCGCAAGAGGTGCAGGTGGAAAGAATAACGCTCGTGCAGGTGGATAGACAATGAGGACGAGCGTCACAACAACCAATGTGGGGACAAGCAGGTCAAGAAGCCAGGCTAGAAGATACACCTAGAATAAGATTTGAGTCTTTGTCGCGATCGCAGGGACCCGAAAAACCCACTCCACAAAAAACGCTTGTGCGTCGAGTTTCTCGCCAGGACCTCAACCTCGCGACATGCTTCACGATGGAGATGACGGAAAGACCAACAGTCACGTAAAGTCTCTCCAGATTCGCTCTGAGCTTGTCTGGCGAGAATTCTTCTTCATCGGCGATGTTAAGATCGAGTTTTCCGGCCAGTGGATACGGGTATTCCTTGACATGATACATTTGCTATGGCGAGCAGCGCAACTTGAGCCGAGATGCACAATATATGCGAAACAAGGACGCACTTTGTTGAACCGCCGAATAAGTAGCCACAGTTCTTCGTTTTCGAGACCGCCGATCAGCGGTTTCGCCACCTTGTCGGGGCGTTGGTTCCAGCCCAAGTCCAGCACCTCAGCAGAGTGGCCCTCCTGCGCTGCTCCCTTCTCTTCCTGCTCTAACTGAGCCAATGCATGACTATCAGTGGGTGACTGAGTGATGGAATGGGCGACCTCTTGGTGTTCGGGGTCGGTGACTGGCGCCACAGTATCTGGAATGGGTAGAAAGTCTCTTACAACGGGTTTATCCATTGTGGAGGTTGGGAAAGGAAAAGAGGGGCATTTCAAGACTGTCAAGTACGGTATATCCATCGCAGATAGGGGACTGCTTGGTCTCGAGTGACGTCAAAACTACGTGCTTATGCGTCGGCGGTTCAATGCGGAAAAGGCTGATTCCCAAGCGGCGACTCGGCGAACGCTTCCCAGAATTCAGTTGTGGAGAGAGTCCGTGTACAGTCTTGGCCTGATTTATATTCGGAGAAGGGCGAGGCGAAAGTGGATCGTTTTAATCTGCGCCAACGTTCATGAATAGACAAGGTACATTTGGACAGGCTGGTCGTCGCCGATGGAGGTTTCTCGCAAGTTTTCCGGTGAAGCGAACCTCTGGGAAATGGTGCGTGATGGTAGAAAGAGGTTACAACATCAAAGTAAGCTGATCCGTTTCGGCGCCGACCCGAAACGATGTTGGACGAACTTAGAGGAACACTGAGGGCAGGGAACTAATATCTAACACTGGGACAAGTTTGGGCAAAGGCGGGGTCCAGGGAGAGAGTTATCGCGCTCATGATGGAGGCGGGAGGCAAGCCAGCGCGTTAGCCGCCGTCAGCCGGCATCACGATGGCCGGGCCGGCAGCACCGGCAGGATAATATATGGAATGTCAAGTCCAACGAGTCCACAGAAGTTTCCGGAGTCTACGCAGTCTACCCGGAGGTCTACGAACGCAGACGACGTACGCTTTGGATTCACGCTTGTTGTCGAAATTCGAGAGCGCTTGGTACGCTCGGCTGCTCGAAAAAGTAAGGTGTACGGTGAAATCATTCCGGCTCTGAAAACTGGCATAATTCTATGTACCCCTGCACACCCAGGGGGGGTGCCACTGCGTCCCAAAGCCAGCATGCAAAACAGCTTGCCGTGTTCGATTTAGTGATGTCGCGGGCCCGGCCCAGGCCCTCAGGCCGAGCCGAGCCGGGCCCGGGCTTGGTCAAGCCGAGCCGAGCCCGACACAAGGCTTGAGCGGGCTTAGGGCTCGGGCTTGAGAAATGCCAGGCCCGCCAGGCCTCGCAAGCCCGGGCCTGGATATATATGACCAAGAGCGTGCCGATGGCGTGAAGCGCTCACGGCATTTCGGCTTAGGAGGCTTCGGTACCGTCAAATGCCGAACTTTATGGCGCAAACCTGTCGTTCGGCTGATCGTCACCTCTAAACTGGCGAATGGTACAAATCAGTGTCACCAATCTGTTGACCCACTGAATTGCAGCGGTGTTCAATGTTCAGAACAGCCGAAAAAACCCCCAACTTCATCACGGGGACATTTAGTACCTTCTACTCCCACATAATATACATGTACCCTAGCATAGTGTTTTTTATCTTTGGCTATGAGAAAGCCTGGGCCCAAGCCCGGGCTCAGGGCTTCAGGCCCCGCACCCAGGGCTCGGGCTCGGGCCTGGAGAATTTGAAGCCCGAGCCCGCCCAAGCCGAGCCCAAGCCCGGGCATTCAGGCCGAGCCGGGCCCGCGACATCACTAGTTCAATTGAGCCACGCCAACTCCGAGTTGAATATGGAAAGTTGGCGATCCTTCAGCACCCATGCGTCGTCTTAAATAAAATATATTTTGGGCATCAACTGCGCCTTCACCACACGGGTAGACCAATAGACGAGCGCTGAGAGTGGGGTCTTCTCGAACACGTTTACCGCAGTTAAACACGATCTCGTGACGTGACTGTAACGGTCGCGCTTTGGCGTCGGATGGCATTGGGTGGCATTGTGGGCGCCATCATCAATATCGCACCTCTTTCTACACCACCATGTCGGAGCAAAACCTTGATTTTGGTGCCAAAACTCCGCCTCCGACTGACAACCGCCAGGTGCCTTTCAAAGACACACCTCAGGTGAGTCAGGTCAAATCCCTTGCCACCCGTGCCCCATTTCAATCCGGTGGCACCCTCGAGACGAGGCGGGATGCAGTAATGGAGTTTACGGAGGACGTTCCGATTGTCCCCCTCGAGTTTTTTCACGGCTCGGTCCTTGAATGGTCGATTCTGAAAACACACCTAAATCTTTTGGATGATGTCGAACGGGAGTTGGTCAAGGGCGGTCACTTGGTCAATGGCTCCTGGGTTCAGTATCCCAAAAATCCCAGCCATATGACTGGAAGCGAGGATGTGGTTTTCCTGCCCCTGGCTGCAATCTTCAAGGCGATTATTTCAGCCACTCATAAAGTCGTCAACAAAGGGAGGAAAAAGAAAAAAGTGAAAGAAACCATCAAGTTTGACCAGAAACCCCACAAAGCTCCCCAAGGTGAAAGGCGGAATGCCACCCGTCCCGACACTTCTGGTGTTTTGGTCGATTCGGAATATCTGCACTCAATTCTGACCAAATTTCACAATTCCTGGTTCACTATTGCCCTGGTCTCAGAGCTCAAGAAGGATCTTTCGCCAGATACTGCGCTCGATGTGAGTTTTCAATAGTGCACATTTCATCGGAATTAACGACTTGACGTTTTAGAATGTCAGAAAAATGTTTTGAAGTGCAGGACATATGCTGGCAAACGACCCGGCGCGTCGCTTTGTCTTTGCATTCACCATAGAAGACACATCAATCAGCCTTTGGTTCATGTCGCGTTCTCAAATCATGGCCTCTGAAAAGTTTAATCTTATCTCAGTATGTCTCTTGATAGTTATTTAGGGTAATTGCTTATGGGTTTATTTAGAGAGCCCGCAAGAACTTATACGAGCAGTCGCAACCTTTTCCTTTGCTAGTCCAGAAGAACTCGGCTTCGAGACGACTGTTTCCCAGTTCAAAGATGATCTTGGAAGAGTTCAGTATGAGATTTGCCTCAATGGCGAAACTTATCTCACCATCCGCCCTCTTACCGGCTATCACGCAGATGCTATTTGGGGTAGAGCGACGCAAGTTTGGTTGGTTCATCCTGAGGGCGAACCGGACGTCCCCTACGTCTTGAAGGACGTGTGGGTCCCCAAGGACTCCGTACGGAGAGGACTGTACACACACACACCACAAATTATATATCGCGCATTAGCGTACCTTTAAAAACTACGCAGCTCCGCGACGGAGCAATTTCCTCCTAGAGGACAAATTAAATTCTGTAAACACTACTTGACTATACCCACCCCGGGTCAGGCAGTTCGCAGAACTGCAGTCCGCATCACACCAGAGGTGTCTCAGTTTTTCACCACTGACCTATGCTGGCCCCTTTGTAAAATAAATCAATTATATCTTGAATGCGTCAAAGTGTGCAAAAGTTGGTGAAACTGAAGATATATTGAGAAACTGCTCATGTTTGCAAATCTTGAGGCCAAGATACTGCAGAACCAAAATTTGGAAAAAAATATATCTTGAAGGCATGTTCAATATATCTCGAATCTGGATCAGTTAGATCTCGAAGGTCAGGTCAGTTATATCTCGACGCAGATCGACTCACATTATTTTTTGAGATGTCCCTTCAGCATCGTAGGCCACAATGAGGGAGCACCCCCGCTCACCGTCCGACGCGCTGAGCGGGGTGAGCGCGTTGTGAGCTGTCACTTTGTGATGCGCTCCGAAAGCGGCCAAACGGGAGGAAAATCATACTCACGGCGGCGACAAGAATATGACACAATGCGCCTCCGAATAAAAAGGCCAGACCCCGAATTGAACGGAGATCTTGCGAGGAAACATTTGTATTCGTCTCGCGCGCGTTACCATTCTGCCACCTGGCCGTGATTAGGACTTGATAAACGGACAAAAAGACGAGACGAACCTGATTTCAATTAAACAACAGACTCCGAATCAAACAGAAACCCACAAGCAAGCATCGAGGAGGAAAATATTGATTCTCGCACGCGCTACCTGGCCGTTCAATGCGTTCACTCAAAAACTCGACACACATTCACTCAAAAACGAAACGGAGGGAAAAGTTTCTTGATGGTGTATCAAGGCCAGACCCCGAATCGAACGGAGACCTTGCGAGGAAACATTACAGGCTCTCTTATTTATCTCGCATGCGTTGCCATTCCGCCACCTGGCCGGTACTAGGGAGAAGGAAATGGGGGAGCAAACGGAGACGGAGTGGTTGCGGTATGCAAAACGGGGCAACTAAACGGAGAACTGAGGTGGTTCTTGGGAAACGGGGTGACTGAAACGGGAAACGGAGGCGACACGAGTCTGCTCCGAGTCAATTTCTAACCCCTTCGGAATCGGGAACGCGTGGGCGATCACAGAGGCGAGCCAGAACTGAAAAGGTGGAACGTCCGTTTCCAATTAAAGGTATACGTACGCGCGCGAGTATCGGACAGAGTACGGTATAAAAGCCAGCTGTAGGATACGGAATGATTATCTTATTACCTCCCACTGCATACACCTAAAGCTACTCCCCCTGAAGTACACCGGGGCGGGGAACTAAATTAAATACACTCCGCTACGGGTCGTGCCGCCCAATAGTAGGACAAACCAAGGTCACCTAGAAGGCCAGGGCTTGTCAAGAAACCCCGTCCATCTCACCTCCGTTTCGATAAATCGATACGGGGGAAATATAGTCAATCCGGAGTTGAAAGCGCGCGGTAGTAGATTACGCGGCACACCACCAAACGGCCAGTCGCCTAACTTGGCTTCATGCAACCGTTCCTTTTCGGAGTTCGAGCGCATATCCTTGCGAGCAACCCACCCCATCGTACACGGAAGGCTTATCTTACACGATCATACCATTTCCCCCATTCAATTCACACACTTCACCCCCGAGTCTTCGAAACGGAAGCGATTCCGTTTCAAGGCATTCACCAACAGAGAAACCAGGCTACGAAGGGAATCGCTATAGCCGTCCGTATAGTGTTACACTGTACTGAAGAGACCTGCCGTCCGATACGTTCGAGACGGGTGGATAAAGCATAACAGATAACCCGAGTACTCCGGAACGGAACAGCATTCGTATTGCAGAGCGAACCCTTCGAGCAAGTGTAGAAAACTATCCATCTGCAGTACCTTCGGAAGGCCAGCCCCCAACGAAGAACCAAATCTTCAAGGAACCTGGCAAAGTGTTCAATCCAAACGGAGAGAACTGTACACACACACACACACCACAAATTATATATCGCGCATTAGCGTACCTTTAACTACACATCTCCGCGACAGAGCAATTTCCCCCTAGAGGACAAATTAAATTCTGTAAACACAACTTGACTATACCCACCCCGGGTCAGGCAGTTCACAGAACCGCAGTCCGCATCACAGCGTCACGGCGGTGTCACATCGGTCGTAGTTCAACCGCCGGATCACCGCACCGGTGTTTGGCAGTGCTTGGCGGGAGCCTGCGGACCAATTCGGCCTGCATCTCACTTCTCGCTGGTGCCGTCCAATCTGTTGTCCCCGCCATTACTTCCTCCATTGAGGCGTACATCAAATCCACTGACTGGCACCACCGCGAAACTGCGATTGTACCTTGGGCTCTATCCTCGAGGGCCCTGATCGGGCCGTCGTCCTCACTCCCCTCGCTTCCCCTTATCGACATGGATGTCAAGGACACCGTCACCCGGACGCTCGGGCAGATATGTGATTTGCTAATCCAAACCATCAGACCCAACGTGCACCTGCATGGGCTCGTTTCAGTACTTGTGAGTGGCCCATGGATTGTGGTGAACTACTGTTGGGCACTGATGAACCTTGCAGAGCAGATAGCGAGAACGATGTGCTTGTTGCTACTGGCCCGTTATCACCCTACATGGACGGCGTCATACGAGCGCTGCTGCACGTTCCTGAGAGGTTTGTTTTTACTTGTCATAGCTTCTTTTTTGCAGTGTATTGAGCACTTGTTTCTTGCAGTGCCGGAAACGAGCACAACTTCAGAACAGCGGCCTATGAAGCGAGCTCCGCGTACCCCAGTGGTGCCACCGCCGATGCAGTAGTCCAGAACACCGTTGTTGCTGTCCTCACACGGATGGAGCAGGTGTTAAATATGCAGGTACGTTCGGGGTTGGTTTATTGCCTTCTTATCGTGTCCTGACTGGTCATTTCAGAACCAGATACTCGGCACTCTCATCAGAACCGGCGACATTGTGAACGAGGTGAAGCAGTTGTCGCACGGGACCTCAACGAGACGTGTCGTTTGGATATGGTCAAGGAGGTCAAGACCAATCTTGAGTTTGTCGGTAAACGTATCATCTCTGCAGTCGTCACTGCTATCGTCACTTACCACTCTGCCATCAAGACATAGTAGAGCAACTTCTATATTTCTTGGAACTACTGTACATAATGTATCAAGTAATCCTACATTTTGCCTGGATCTATTGCGGACACGAGAAAACTTCACGCTGACCTACCTAAGACATCCCAACTGGCGCCGTCATTGGCGCGTGATGCAGTGCCTATTACATGGTTGCCGCTCTGTTCTGTACCTCAGAACAGTGGCTACGGCACAGTACAGCCACGGTGGCTATGGCACTGTTCTGAGGTACAGAACAGAGCGGCAACCATGTAGTCGATGTGAATGAACGTGAGCATCCATTCATTCTGTTTGGACTGTGAATGTTTATGTTGAAGCTCAGAAAATATTACAGATCCCCATATGAGCGGAAGGCTGGATTATAACAGTACTAGCAGTGACCCGTGCTTCGCTGGGGAGATTTACTGTGGTTTACCTCAATGTCAAATCATGTTGGTTAGTTGTTTCCCAGCAACACTTTCAAACTTCTGTGCTCATAAATTGCTACTGCTACAAATTTGAGGTGATTTCCATTCTGCAGGGCGGAGCATCCGACTTCAATAGCTCTCCCGATAACAGTCGGCCTTCGCGGCCGATTGACACTGTATTCAGCATCAAGTGCATCGTCCAGCACTTGTGTTGAATCTACAAAAGAAAAGTTGGGATTGATAATTTTCCAGTCGGAGGAGTACTGCAGACATACCGCAGTCTGAGTCACACCTGAGTCTCTCTTCACCTTCTTCCACTCATCGTTGTAAGGTTTGAGCTTGAGATCGAGAATTTTTGCACCTGGATAGCATTCAATCTTGTATCTGGGTGGCAAGTTCTCGCTGTTGTCCTGCTCGCTGAGTGGTTTATGGAACTTTGACCTATGGAAAGGACCGGTGTGCAGGTATACCAGAGGGAAACACACTGGCCTTCATTCGATTGTCCTGAGATTCTCTTTCTCTGTGCCTTCTTTCTCCTATTGACCGACATTCGAGTTGGGACTGAACCAACCAATGTGCCAAGAGGGCTCTGCACAAACATACCCGGGACATCACACCTCAAAGCACTCCGCGTTTTTTAGAATATTCTTCGGTCCACGGGAGAGATCTGTTGCCGACTGAAGTTGTTCTTGAGTTACACGTAAGCGGTGATTTCTGACATCGGAGTCCAAGTTCAACCGACCGTGATCAAAACCGGCTCTGGCCGGGTTTGCCAAGGGGGTTTTGGGAGCAACTTGAGCAACTTGACCTGTCCCAATTTTCTGGGAGGGTCCTCGGTGCTCATGGCAAGACGGAAGGCTACGTTTTAACAACTCAACAATTTATAAATAGAAACATTGCACTTGACTGGAGTGCTCAAGATAATTCAACATTTTGGTGGCGCCGCGGGGCGTATGACCTCATTGCCAGCCAATCCGGTTATCTTTTCGTTTGTCTTATCTTTTTTTTTTTTGCGGAGACAGGAGGTCATCAATTATAATATAGATAATTTATTATGTTCAATGCAACACTGAAACCTGGATACTTTCTTTATCTGTTCATTGGTTGATTCCTATCTGGATCAAAGCACAATCAATCACCGTGATATACCCTGGGAGCCGGATACTGACTATCCAAGGTCACTTAGGCAGAGGAGACTGCATGTTATGTGCATGATGAAGCTGGAGCAGGCACAGTGATGGATGTGTTCATTCCGGGAAGTCAGTGAATGGGACAACAGTAGTTGGTGCTGTCTAAATTGCGGTGTGATTCTACATCCCAGAAAGGTATAAATGGGTACATGTGCACTGATTGTAATCAGGATAAGGATCAGCACCTGGCCCGGAGAGAAGCATTGTCCACGTTGCACTTGTCCTCTTCCCCCACCTCCGCTGCTGCAGTGATACCTCGGCTTCTCAGGTCAGTTTCTCTGTTGTAGAAATGTTTCTGGTGGTTGACATGCTTGCTTCTCAAGGTCAACCTGGGATTATGTTTTCTTTGAACAGTGATTCTCGTCCACTGTACATCATTGGTGCGGGATTGCTTTTCTTGAATGTCAAAGAAATTGATCATTTTGCATAGGTGGCCAAGGTGGTGCTGGTGGTCAGGCACACCTTCAAGGTGGCACTGGTGGAGCGGGGCAGGGTCCCATTGTGCATATCACTACACCACAGTTGATTGCACCTAACCTCCAAGCCGCACTCGCGACAGAGCAGGCATTGCAGCTTCGCAACATCCGGGCATCTCAAATAGCCAATCATTGTCCTCCTCCGTCAAGAATTTTCTGTGGCAGACGGGATATCCTTAACAAGATGCATCACTTTTTCTCTGGCACTGGGATCCAACATATCTACGTGCTACATGGACTCGGAGGTGCCGGAAAAACACAGATTGCTCTGAAATTCATTAACAAGTCATCATCTCGGTGAGCTTGATCATCCACCTGGGAATCTCTCACTGGGAAGTGATTTTTGATCCAGTTGCAGCTTTTCAGACATCTTTTTCATTGACACCAGCACCATTGCGATGATTGAGACAGGTCTCAAGAATATAGCTATCC